CTCAGTCCTTGTAATTCACTAGTTAAATTAAAATTGGGGAAAATAATGTTGATTGTTTCCGAATAATGCTGATTATTTCCGACGACTACCGGATATTAAACACAAGACTGAAGCAATTTTTATAAGGAAATTACATTATAATTAATATCTTTTATCCTTTAGTAAATGTACAAAAAATACATAGCAAAGAAGAAAGGAGAAAAAAATAGACAGGCCATATGTCCATTCGGTCTATTGTCCGTTCGACCAAATGCCCGTCGGCTCGATGTCCGTTCGGCCAAATGTCCGTTCGGCCAAATGTCCGTCGGTGAAACGTCCGTCGGCCATCTGTCCGGCCACCCCTCCCACATCTAACTAATGGACCAATCGTTATCGACATTCCAACCCACTTGTAATGAATAGACCAATCGCTATCGTCCTTCCAACCCACCTTTAACTAATGGACCATTTTCTACTATATAACCAACTGACCAAGCATGCTCACGGACTATGATAAGTAACCGCCACACGAAGGCTCCTTACTCACAGCCTCTAGCATATACTTCAGCAAATGACAGAAACATTGTAAATATATATTATTTTTTAATAATGGTTTATATGAGGTGTACATGTACTGACCTGTGCACCTGTACACCTGTGGACTAGTTTAGCCCGAACCCATAAATGTTTACCTGATGATTGTACACCTGCTCAGTATGCACCTGTTGAGTAAGTATCTTATTTAGTGTACCTGTTAAGTAAGTGCCAGTTATGTACACACCTGGTCAATGTCTATCTGTTAAGTGTGATTCTGTTAAGTGTGAATCTGTTAAGTGTGATTCTGTTAAGTGTAAATCTGTTAAGTGTGAATCTGTTAAGTATACTTGTACATCTAATAAGTGCGCATCTGTTTAGTGTATACCTGTGTACGTGATCGGAGAACAGCTCTTAAAAGTGAACCTACTAAAAGTGAACGAATTTATTTCGTTAAGTAGGCAGATAATAGGGGTGCACCTGTTATGTTCGGACCTGTGAAGTGTGACCCGTGTAAGTGTGCGTCTGGTAAGTGTGAAGTAAATATGCGTCTGGTAAGTGTGAAGTAAGTGTGCATCTGGTAAGTGTAAAGTAAGTGCGAAGCAATGCGTCTGGTAAGTGTGAAATAAGTGTGCATCTGGTAAGTGTGAAGTAAGTGTGCATCTGGTAAGTGTGAAGTAAGTGTGCATCTGGTAAGTGTGAAGTAAGTGTGCATCTAGTAAGTGTGAAGTAAGTGTGCATCTGGTAAGTGTGAAGTAAGTATGCGTCTGGGAAGTGTGAGGTAAGTGTGTATCTGGTAAGTGTGAAGTAAGTGTGCATCCGGTAAGTGTGAAGTTAGTGTGCATCTGGAAAGTGTGAAGTAAGTGTGCATCTGGTAAGTGTGAAGTAAGTATGCGTCTGGTAAGTATGAAGTAAGTGTGCATCTGGTAAGTGTGAAGTAAGTGTGCATCTGGTAAGTGTGAATTAAGTGTGCATCTGGTAAGTGTGAAGTAAGTGTGCATCTGGTAAGTGTGAAGTAGTAGTTTGTGCTTCGGCTAAACAAAATATTAAGAACGGGATAATTCACTACGAGTCATCTATTTTTCAGTGCCAGCTGGAGCCAATCGATGATCAGGAATTACAAGAGTAATATATCAAAGTCGTGGCTGGTGAAGGTAGTAGTGGTGGTGGTAATGGTGGTAGAAGTGGTGGTAATGGTGGTAGAGGTGGTGGTAATGGTGGTGGTAGAGGTGGTGGTAATGGTGGTAGAGGTGGTGGTAATGGTGGTAGAAGTGGTGGTAATGGTGGCAGAGGTGGTGGTAATGATGGTAGAAGTGGTGGTAATGGTGGTGGTGAAGTGGTGGTAATGGTGGTAGTTGTGGTGGGTGGTGGGGTGGTGGTAATGGTGGTGGTAAGATGGTGGTGGGTGGTGGTGGTAATGGTGGTGGTAATGGTGTAATGGTGGTTGGTGGTAATGGTGGAGAGGTGGTGGTAATGATGGTAGAAGTGGTGGTAATGGTGGTGGTAGAAGTGGTAATGGTGGTAGAGTAGTGGTGGTGGTAGGGTAATAGTGGTGGTAGAGGTGGTGGTAATGGTGGTGGCAGAGGTGGTGGTAATGGTGATGGTAGAGGTGGTGGGTAATGGTGGTGGTAGAGGTGGTGGTAATGGTGGTGGTAGGGTGGTGGTAATGGTGGTGGTAGAGGTGGTGGTAATGGTGGTGGCAGAGGGTGGTAATGGTGGTGGTGGAGGTGGTGGTAATGGTGGTGGTAGAGGTGGTGGTACAAGTGGTGGTAATGGTGGTGTTAGAGGTGGTGGTACAAGTGGTGGTAATGGTGGTGGTACAGGTGGTGGTAATGGGAGTGATAATGGTGGTGATAATGGGGTTGCTACAGGTGGTGGTAATTGTGGTGGTACAAGTGTTGGTAATGGTGGTGGTGGTACAAATGTTGGTAATGGTGGTGGTGGTACAAATGTTGGTAATGGTGGCACAAATGTTGGTAATGGTGGCACAAATGTTGGTAATGGTGGTACAAGTGGTGGTAATGGTGGTGATAATGGTGGTGGTACAGGTGGTGGTACAAGTGGTGGTCATGGTGGGGGTACAATTGTTGGTAATGGTGGTGGTGGTACAAATATTGGTAATGGTGGTACAAATGGTGGTAATGGTGGTACAAGTGGTGGTAATGGTGGTGGTACAAGTGTAATAGCCCTTGTCTTATAGGCAGAAGTATTTATATAAATGGGTTAATTACATTTGATTTATATACTCTATCACCCTCAATAACTTTCCACTAGCTATGAGGTAGCATGTTCAGAGCATGTGATAAGGTGTGCCCACGGGAAGATCGTGTCACTTAGTGCTGAGCTAAGGCATTAAGTAGCCGGCTCTCTGGCCACCTCTTGCGGAAGTAGTTTGATATCCTTGACGAGAGGAAGACGTTATTGAGAGCCATCGTGGATGGATCCGTCTTCCCTCGAGGGAGGACGTATATTACCGTTCTCCCTCGACGGGTATTATGGGATTGTCACTCAACACCTCACACCAACCGGACGTATTTAGAAGAGGTCTTTAATAGAGCCTCCGTCCTCATGTTAACACTCATAGCTACAGTGATTAAGTTACGGTGATATACACTTGGAACTGTATATGAGATAGTTCCTCAATACATAGATAACAGATAATTGGGTTTCGCTACTAAAACCCTATATACTTTTACATGTTCCAACCTCATTAACACAGAAGGAATCAACGGTTAAAGGGCCAGTTCACAAGTGGTGGTAATGGTTGTGGTACACGTGTTGGTAATGGTGGTAATGGTGGTGGTACAGGTGTTGGTAATGGTGGTAAAAGTGGTGGTAATGGTGGTGGTACAGGTGATGGTAATGGTGGTGGTACAGGTGTTGGTAATGGTGGTACAACTGGTGGTAATGGTGTTGGTACAGGTGTTGGTAATGGTGGTGGTACAAGTGTTGGTAAAGGTGGTGTTAATGGTGGTGGTAATGGTGGTGGTACAAGTGTTGGTAATGGTGGTGGTAATGGTGGTGGTACAAGTGTTGGTAAAGGTGGTGTTAATGGTGGTGGTAATGGTGGCGGTACAAGTGTTGGTAATGGTGGTGGTAATGGTGGCGGTACAAGTGTTGGTAATGGTGGTGGTACAGGTGGTGGCCCCAGAAGAGGTGGTCACTCTCGAGGAGACGTAGGCGACGGACGAGTAGGTTGATGGTCATGTGAGACAGACTGATATGAGGTCGAGGCGACGTGTGACGGGAAGTCATTAGGCAGAGAAACTTTTAGCTCACCATCCAGGTCCTGGGCTCCTGCTCCGACGGGTGTGTGTGTGTGTGTGTGTGTGTGTGTATGTATATATATATATATATATATATATATATATATATATATATATATATATATATATATATATATATATATATATATATATATATATATAGAGAGAGAGAGAGAGAGAGAGAGAGAGAGATTTATATATATAAAGCTCTAATCATCAAGAACAGTTAGGTTAATCGCCAGTGTTAATGCCATCGGTCTCAGTAGTGTTCACACCGCCCAGGTCCACAAGACGAGCCCCAAGCAACGCCAGTGATCTCGCTTAAGAAAATGATGTGTATAAAGCAGTCATGTCTTACCCGTCTGGTGTGGTAGTTAGAGCCACTGAGATACAACGTTAGGCACCTTACCGGTCAACCCAGCCTCGGTCTTGTTATGTCTCCTGGCCGATCTTACCAAATATACGAGTATCAACGTTTGACAAGTAGGCAACACTCCCGCCACAAAATCCATTAAGTCTGAAAAGTCTGACAGGTATGGAGGATTCGATCTTCTATACCAGTAAGCCTCAGTAAGAGAGGAAAGTCACGCTCACTGAGGCAGAAGATAGCTGAGATTTTATAACGAGGTGCCACGTCGTTAGAAAAGTGAAAACACCCAAAGCTAAAAGGTTCATGTTCCAGCAACTTAGCATTATGGCCCAGCTAGGGAATATTAGCTGCATTCCTCATACTCACTTTCCCTCTGTGTAGTTGCCAGAGATCCCCACCCACACACACACACACACACACACACACACACACACACACACACATACACATAACAAAGGTTGCCCTTCGTGTAACGAGGATGACCAGCCCAAGGGCCACCTTGGCGTGAATATCTTTAAGTTGTAGAAGCTGTCGCCAACACAACAACCACACCCTAAGTTAACAAGTTGTATGACCCAGTGTCAAGGAATAGTCGGAGAAGACCGGACAACTCGCCAACTGCACTGGCTAACCATTATCCTGGAACACGATCCGCAAGTCGATTAACATCGAGGTTCCCAATTACTGCTGGGTAGACAGACGCAAATAGCGTAAAGAAACTTGCCCATAGTTTCACCCTGCCGAGGATCGAACTCGGGTCCGCTCGCTTGCGAGGCGAGGATGCTGACCATTACACCACAGGTCGCGACACACACGCACACACACACACACACACACTGACAATAACGCAGATGGTCGAGGAATTTCTGCTTTTGGAAAGTAAAGTTGTGTCTTTGAAGTAAAGGTTCAACTCGCTGCCGTCTCCCGTCGTGTTACCACCGCCACGCCGGCTGGATGCGATACCTGGCTATAGATGGCGTGACATTTTCTGTTGCTGTTTTTTTTCCCTCCGTCACTTAATAAAATAATAGTCTACTTTTGAATGAACTCCAGACACTAATAACCCACCATATCAGTTTATCTGAACGAGACGTTAAGAGTGTTCCGGGTAAAGTGAAAATTCTGAAAGATGTGAAAACCAGTGAGGCAAAATACCGAGGACAGGGAGGGGGATAAGAGCGGATAAGAGGATGTGGGTAAAGGGGGAGGAGGAGGAGGAGGAAGGGGCGATGGTTCCTGCTGCACAAACACATCAACACTCCCAGGACGAGGAGCAACAAGAGAGACGTATACATATAAAAAGAAAGTCAAGTAAAATATAGAAGAACTAATAGAGCTTATATAAATATTAGGTTAGGTTAGGTTAGGTTATATCATTTAATTAAAAACAAAATCCATTTTATTTGGTTGTTTTCGTATTCTTTAAGCCCTTTATTTGTTAACTATATAGAAATAACTTTGTAACATATAATTAAGTCGATATGATATTATCAGTACGAACGTGTTGGTCAACCTCTGAGAGTAATCAGTCATTGATGTTTAAAAAGCAACAAAATCTTTCAGCGAAGGTTATCCCTCGTATACCATGGTTAAGTGACTACATCTGGGAATGAAAGTAAAAATAAAATGATCTGTACACTGAATGAATGATGATTAGAGCGATAAATTGAATAATGATAAAAACAATCGGTGGAAAAATTCACGTAGAAGAAGAGAAGGAACAGTGAAGTCAGAGCAAGAATTGTTGGCAAGAAAAAGACGGAGGATAAACTTGGTGAAGGCTTTTGTTGTATCCTGAACTAGAAGAAAAAGATTCGCCCAAGTTATCGAGAGCAAAGACAAAGTTGTGAGTAAAGAGAGAAGGAAATCTGCAGTGGCGCCACGTTGACAAAACCTTCACTGTGTGTGTGTATGTGTGTGTGTGTGTGTGTGTGTGTGTGTGTGTGTGTGTGTGTGTGTGTGTGTGTGTGTGTATGTGTGTGTGTGTGTGTATGTGTGTGTGTGTGTGTGTGTGTATATATATGTGTGTGTGTGTGTGTGTGGATATTGATAGAATGTGCCTTGGCAAGTTTCTATAGTTTTGGAAACAAGAATATAAAGTAAATATTTTTAAAACGATTACGAAACTTATGAGAAAAAAATATCCAAAGGTTGGAAAGAAAAACAACTTCAAGAAGAGAATATTTATTCTAATCCAACAAATTAGTATTCATGTTGATTTAGTCTCATAATTTATTCCCTTACTTGAAGACAAGAAGACCTAACTTATAATAGAGTCTCAGGTAAATATTGACGATATTCTGAACCAACATCTTGATACCTAAACTTATGTGAGCCACCTAGATGCCTCACTCTCCCTTGGGAATTGTAACCCACAATTTGCGTAAAAACAACAATAGAATCGCGAACGTTGGGTTTAGATGAGTCCATAAGGAGTGGTTTAGTAGGATTAGTTTTAACGAGAATTATGATTACCTGGATTAAGGGATTTAAGTTCGTGTAATCACTAAATTTAAGGAGATTTACTTTTTTTTGTGTATACGTTGGGGTGAGATTATGTCGCGTAAAGAACTAGAATAACAGAGATGAGAGAGATGTGGTAAAGTAGTTAAAATAATGAGTTAATCTGAATCATATTTTGTTAAGTCCTGCACGAAAGAAGAGAAAAATTTCCTTATTGTTTCGCTCATGATGTTTTTACTTTATTTCGATGCATTGTTTCCGTTTATTTTTTTATTTAATTTCGTACAGATTTCTTATTAATTTCCTTTTTATAACAAAAGAACACGAACTAAAGGCAATGAACGAGTCAACCCACGGCGTCATCCTCGTCAGCCCTCCATCAGTTACCGCAGACTGAGACAGACACACGGTTTCCGGCTTGTAAATCAACTGCGTTTTCCAACAAGCCTTCAGCAATGAGTCTTCACAAGTTAATGAAGGAACAAATTGGAGTTATTTGACTCTTGTAAATAAAAAAAAATCAGATTTAATGACTCGGACACATGGCTAATCAATCAGAAACTGGCTTGTGCCCTCACCAGAGATAAGTGTTCCCTCGGTTGGTTTACAACTTCCCAGACACTACTGTACCTAGTGTTAAGATGTTTACGTAGTGACATATTATTTGTGTGTTACTTTTATTATTTTTCACTTCATATATTTATAATCTAATTCACATGTTAAGATATATATATATATACATATATATATATATATATATATATATATATATATATATATATATATATATATATATATATATATATATATATATATATATATATATATATATATATATATATATATAAGAGAAACAAATATTGACAATAGAACGAGAATTACCGGGTACTTATAAAATTCGAAGCTCCGTTGAAAAATAATTGGACAAATAAATAAGAATAGTAAAGAGAGACGAACAAAGATTGTTAAAAAAATATATATCTTAGCATATATCGAACCAGCTGGCAGGCACGAAGCAAATATTCTGTAAACTTTCATCACTTATGTATTTCTCTGTACTCTGCACATCTGTCGCACTTACTGTAATAATTCCACACAGAAAGGCCTTTGTCGGTTGTCATTTGTTCTCTCTCTTACTCTCTCTATCTCTCACTTTTTTATCTCTGCCACGTGTATATCTCACCTGTGTGTTAACTGAGAGTGGCACCTACCTGAGGTCTGTTCTGGGCCAGGTGTATTTGTGGAGGATTCTCAATTGTTGTTGTTGTTGTTATTACAAGACTTGTTTTTGTAATGAAGTTGTGCACATTATGACTTGTTACTTGTTGTTGATAATATGGCTCAATTGTGTCATGACCTTCCTCCCCCTGTCTTCCTTTCCTTCCTCCCCCCTGCCTTCCTCTCCTTCTTCCTCCTGTCTTCCTCTCCTTCCTCCCCCTGTCTTCCTCTCCTTCCTCCCCCTTCCACCCTCTCCTTCCTCACCCTGCCATCCTCTCATTCTTCCCCCTGTCTTCCTCTCCCCTGCCATCCTCCTCCTTCTTCCTCCTGTCTTCCTCTCCTCCTCCCCCTGTCTTCCTCTCCTTTCCTCCCCGCCATCCTCTTCACCCTCCCCCTCTTCCTGTCTCCCCCAACTCTCATCCCTCCCTCTTCCTGTCCCCAAGCTGTCTATCCCAACTGTCTTATCCCTCCCCTCTTCCTGTCCCCCTGTCTTATCCCTCCCCTCTTCCCTGTCCCCCAACCTCTATCCCTCTTCCTGTCTCCCAACCGTCTTGTATCCCTCCCTCTTCCTGTCCCCCAACTGTCTTGTCCCCCTCCCTCTCTACCTGGGTTCCCCAACTGTCTTATCCTCCCTCTTCCTGTCCCCCAACTGTCTCATCCCTCCCCTTCCTGTCTCCCAACTGTCTCATCCTCCCTCTTCCTGTCTCCCAACTGTCTTATCCCCCCTCTTCCCTGTCCCCAACTGCTCGTCCCCCAACTGTCTTAGTCTCCCCAACTGTCTCATCCCCCCCTCTCCCTGTCCCCAACTCGTCTTATCCCTCCCCCTCTACCTGTCCCAACTGTCTCATCCCTCCCTTCCTGTCCCCAACTGTCTTATCCCTCAACTGTCTTCCCTCCCTCTCTTCCTGTCCCCCAACTGTCTTATCCCCTCCCCTCTCTCCCTGTCTCCCAACTGTCTCATCCCCTCCCCTCTTCCTGTCTCCCCCTCCCCTCTTCCTGTCTCCCAACTGTCTTATCCCTCCCCTTTCCTGTCCCCCAACCGTCTCTCATCCCTCCCCTCTCTTCTGTCCCCAACTGTCTCATCCCCTCCCCCTCTTCCTGTCTCCCAACTGTCTCTATCCCTCCCCTCTCTCTCCTGTCCCCAACTGTCTCATCCCTCCTCTTCCTGTCTTCCTCTCCTGTCCCCCAACCCGTCCCATCCCCTCCCTCCTTCCCTGTCTCCCTCTCCCTGTCTCCCAACCTGTCTCATCCTCCCCTTCCTGTCTCCCAACCGTCCATCCTCCCCATTGTCTCATCCCCCTCTTCCTGTCCCCCAACTGTCTTATCCCTCCCCTTCTTCCTGTCCCTATCCTCTCCCCCTCTTCCTGTCCCCAACTGTCTCATCCCTCCCCCTCCTCTTCCTGTCCCCGAACTGTCTTATCCCTCCCCTCTTCCTGTCCCCCAACTGTCTCTATCCCCTCCCTCTTCCTGTCTCCCAACCGTCTTATCCCTCCCCTCTTCTTCCCTGTCCCCAACTGTCTCATATCCCCCTCCCCCTTCCTGTCCCCCAACCACCATCCCTCCCCTCTTCCTGTCTCTAACTGTCCGTCTCATCCTTCCCCTCTTCCTGTCCCCAACTGTCTCATCCCTCCCCCTCTTCCTATCCCCTCAACTGTCTTCCCCCTCTCCTTCCCCTGTCCCCAACCGTCTCATCCCTCCCCTCTTCTGTCCCCAACTGTCTCATCCTCTCCCCTCCAGTCTTCCTGTCCCCAACCGTCTCATCCTCCTCTTCCGGGTCCCCAACCTGTTGGTCTCTCCCCTTCCTCCCTGTCCCTCTAACCGTCCCATCCCTCCCCCCCTCTTCCTGTCCCCCAACTGCCCCATCCCCTCCCCCTCTCTCCCCTGTCCCCCAACTGTCTCCATCCCTCCCCTCTCTTCCTGTCTCCCCATCCTCAACTGTCTCATCCCTCCCCCTCTTCCCTGTCCCCAACTGTCTCATCCCCTCCCTCTTCCTGTTCTATCCTCTCCCTCTTTTCTGTCCCTCAACTGTCTCCCCAATCCCTCCCTTCCTGTCCCCAACTGTCTCATCCTCCCTCTTTCCCCCCCCAACTGTCTCCTCCTCTCCCTCCCCAACCGTCTCATCCCTCCCTCTCCCAGCCCCAACCGTCTCATCCCCCTCCCCTTCCTGTCCCCAACTGTCTCATCCCTCTTCCCTGTCCCCAACCGTCCCCAACTGTTCTCATCCCCTCCCCCTCTTCCTGTCCCCAACTGTCTCATCCCCCCTCCCTATCCCCCAAATCCGTTCCCATCCTCCTCTTCCTGTCCCCCAACTGTCTCATCCCTCCCCTCTTCCCGTCCCCCAACCGTCTCATCCCTCCCCCTTCCTGTCTCCCAACTGTCTTATCCCTCCCCTCTTCCTGTCCCCAACTGTCTCATCCTCCCTCTCTTTCCCATCTCCCAACTGTCTCATCCCCCTCTTTACCTGTCCCCCAACTGTCTCATCCCTCCCTCTTCCTGTCTCCCCAACTGTCTCATCCCTCCCCTCTTCCTGTCCCCAACTGTCTCATCCCTCCCCTCTTCCTGTCTCCCAACTGTCTCATCCCTCCCCTCTTCCTGTCCCCAACTGTCTCATCCCTCCCCTCTTCCTGTCCCCTCAACTGTCTCATCCTCCCTCTTCCCCTGTCTCCCCAACTGTCTTATCCCCCCCCTTCCTGTGCCCCAAACTGTCTATCCCTCCCCTCTTCCTGTCCCCAACTGTCTCATCCCTCCTCCCTCTTCCTATCCCCAACTGTCTCATCCCTCCCTCTTCCTATCCCCAACTGTCCTCCCTCCCTCTTCCTGTCCCCAACTGTCTCATACCTCCCCCTCTTCCTGTGCCCCAACTGTCTCATCCCCTCCCTCTCTTCCTGTCCCCCAACTGTCTTATCCCCCCCCTTCCTATCCCCAACTGTCTCATCCCCTCCCCTCTTCCTGTGCCCCAACTGTCTCATCCCTCCCCTCTTCCTGTCCCCCAACCGTCTCATCCTCCCCTCTCTTCCTGTCCCCAACTGTCTTATCCTCTCCCCCTTCTTCCTGTCCCCAACTGTCTTATCCCCAACCGTCCCCCTCTCTTTCCTGTCCCCCCAACTGTCTCATCCTCCCCCAACTGGTGACAGCACATAGCCCAACAGGTATCAGGTGTCCGCCATATAGCTAACGCCTCTCTTACTGGCGCAGTGGACTCGAACTCATGGATCCAACTCACACCTCGACGAAGGACGTACTTCGGAAACCAACGGCAGGGGTCCTCCACCTCCGCTACCTTGACTACCGGTACAGCTGCTTCACAGGGTTTGAGAAAGATTTTTAATTCTACGCTAGCCCGTCTTCTGTTCTTGTCTATAGCCCTCTCCAGGCACCACCAATCAGCTGTTAGCGTCTCTAGAATTCTTCTAAAAATACGGCCTAGTCCCTCCTCCTAGATTGGACCTGCACTGCTTGTTGTGTTGTAAGGGCATCACACTCAGGCTTTTCATGTACCACACTCACTCTTCCTTGAGCACAGGCGTCGCCCATTTCACCGAGGCTGTGTTTAGCCATTAGAGGCAGTCCTCTCACTACCCCGCCACCACCAGGAGTGTTCCGTGTGAGCTACGAAATATTCTTATGTGTCTGAGTGCTTCTCTTCACCGGGAACTAATTAACATATTTCCTCTCTTCTTCCGGAACCCCGTACAGGGCTCAAGTTATCTATCATCATCTGTATGTGTGTTTTCAGACGGTGTCTGTGTGTCTGGTTGCCCTGCATGCCAGACTAAAGATGTCCTCTCTCTTCTCTCTCTCTCACTCGCTGGTCTGTTCAGCACCCCTGAATGCGCTTCCAAAGAGTTTCAATATCTCGCTGGATCTACCAATGGATCTCAGATCTTGTTTCTTCCATTACTCTGGCGACAGAGACGCTGGTGCATGGATGTTTCAACTCATATATATATATATATATATATATATATATATATATATATATATATATATATATATATATATATATATATATATATATATATATATATATAATCTTTTTTGAGATTTTGGAATGAAATATTGGAGTGGTTTTTCATGTACCCAGGTCAGGAAACTTCAGTGTATATTTATATCTCCCCCAAAATGTGTTGTCTTGCCAGGGTCTCGAGATCATTTTTTTCTGTACACCTGACTGACCTTACATGAGAACCATCCAGAGGTGAAAGTTGAGTCAGTAAACACTCTATATAGACTTTACACACCAGAAGTTCTTCACACCATAAAATATCACACACACACACACACACACACACTCACACACACACACACACACACACACACACACTCACACACAAATACACACACACACTCTCACACACACGTGCGTTGATAACAAACATCCAGAATGCTGGGAAATTGGCAAGAAACGAGGCGGAGGATTTCAAAGCATTACTGTATATCACGCTCCGGTACACGGGGACACAGCCCCAGTGTCTTCGATCCATTGTTGACATGCAATAGAGTCTCTTGGTCCCTAGGGATGATACACAACCCATTCATTAGGTCAAAATACCTAACAACAATATTTCAGCGATGCTTAAAAACTCACATTATTTTAACGGAATTTTTTTTTACTTGTTAATGAAGTAATTATACACAGATGACCATGACTGATTTATGAGATTAATTAAACAATCGGTAAAAAAGAGCGAAGAATTTGTTAAAGTTATCTAAATACCTGTTACAATAAACCCCTGAATAAAACACATACTGTGTGTGTGTGTGTGTGTGTGTAAGTGTGTGTGTGTGTGTGTGTGTGTGTGTGTGTGTGTGTGTGTGTGTGTGTGTGTGTGTGTGTGTGTGTGTGTGTGTGTGTGTGTGTGTGTGTGTGTGTGTGTGTGTGTGTGTGTGTGTGTGTGTGTGTGTGTGTGTGTGTGTGTGTGTGTGTGTGTGTGTGTGTGTGTGTGTGTGTGTGTGTGTGTGTGTGTGTGTGTGTGTGTGTGTGTGTGTGTGTGTGTGTGTGTGTGTGTGTGTGTGTGTGTGTGTGTGTGTGTGTGTGTGTGTGTGTGTGTGTGTGTGTGCGTGTGTGTGTGTGTGTGTGTGTGTGTGTGTGTTGTGTGTGGGCAGCCCAGCTTTTCTCTGGTATCTATAAAGCTAAGTATGTAACGTAGTGTAGGTAGTCTATATTCTTACCTGTGTGTAGTAAACTGTTAAACACTTTCCTTCACAGTACTGTAGTCTAACACTTCATCACTATTATGACTCTGTATACATATGAGTAGTGTACACAGGTAGCTGGTGTAGTATATCCCCTGTAAAGACCTACAGGAGCTAACTTAGGGTAGTGTAATGACAGTAGCTTCTAACTCATTAAGTTATGACAGTAAATGCTTTAACAAACAGGTAAGTGAAAATTGCATCTTTTTTGTCCTTTAAAAGTGGGGTGAGGAGCTTCACGCTAGCCATAGTTACACTTTCATGGGAAGATTATTTGTTCTGATAATAAGAGAGAAAAACAAGGCTCGATTTTTTTTTCTGAGAGTCTGGTTAAGTGAGAATAAAGTGTAATAACAATAACGAGTCATTACTCTTGTTCCCATTGAAGGGATATCTAAGTTCTAGCAAGTTTTAACTCGACCGCTCGAAAAGTTTTACAGAAGTTTTGGGATAAATCTTTCTCCTGTTTCTTTGGTTTAGAGTGAGAGAAGTTAAGGAGGTAAATCTTCCTCATATTTCTGGAGGCGAGAGAGAGAGAGAGAGAGAGAGAGAGAGAGAGAGAGAGAGAGAGAGAGAGAGAGAGAATATTGTTAGTTAAAATTATAAATTAATTCTCTTATAAGTTTAGTTATTATTAAACTAGCTTTAATTATTACACATTCAGAGAACAGTTATTAGATACCTGAGGATAAATATGACTACTGAAATACGTAGTAGTAGTAGTAGTAGTAGTAGTAGTAGTGCATCACATGTTCGTTAATCTACAGCACTGATACATGCAACTGATTACTGTAGGTGTGTGTTTACGATAGTTGTGACCATAACAAAGAGAAAACGGTAAATTCAACTTTATTTACTGGCAGTCGAGTATACAACCTGAGTTCACTCCTTCAGCACGCCATGTCCAGCCTCAGGTGGTGGCAGGCGGCAGGTGGCAGTGAATTTGTTGCAGTGTGAAAGGCAATTTAGGTTTTCTTAACTCCCGGCTTTGTCTCTCTTGATAATTGTTAGTTGCTTATTGGTGTTATGATCTACAGTGAAATACGCGCTCACAACGGCCTTAGTTATGGAAGCGCTGTTTAATTATACGGTGTAACTGATTTAATTTGTCATTATATTTTTGCCATTGATAAAAAGTAAACGAGAGAGAGTCAAGGTACGGCACCTGTTACCTGATACTTAATTAACTCAAACTAATTAACATAATGGGCTATTAAGTGACCCTAGATACCATACAGGTGAATAGACTATATGGTTACCTAATATTGTGTAGTGAATAATGAATGGTGTAAGTAAAGTGATGGTGCTGAGTAATGAATGAAGATGAACTTGCATATTATACGTTAATATCTCCTGAATAATAAACTAGAGTACATCATATTCAAAGGTGAATAATAAATGCCACAGCTGATGAATAATGTATGGGTAATAGTTGAAGAGATAGGGATAATAGTCTATAATTAGCCTGAGGAATGTGGATGAATTATTAATGATAGTGAATGACACAGGGTGGATGATAAATGATAGTGAACGATGAATAACACAGGATGGATGATAAATGATAGTGAATGATGAATAACACAAGATGGATGATAAATGATAGTGAATGATGAATAACACAAGATGGATGATAAATGATAGTGAACGATGAATGACACAGGGTGGATGATAAATGATAGTGAATGATGAATGACACACATTGGATGATAAATGATAGGGAACGATGAATGACACAAGATGGATGATAAATGATAGTGAACGATGAATGACACAGGGTGGATGATAAATGATAGGGAATGATGAATAACACAAGATGGATGATAAATGATAGGGAATGATGAATAACACAAGATGGATGATAAATGATAGGGAATGATGAATAACACAGGTTGGATGACAAATGATAGGGAATGATGAATAACACGATGAGAATACAGACATGCTAGTAATACAAATACGTTTAAAGAAATACACACACACAAGGAGGTGGGCAAGTGGTGTGGAGGTGGGCAAGTGGTGTGGAGGTGGTGTGGAGGTGGTGTGGTGTGGAGGGGTGGGGTGGTGGGGGAGGGGTGCAAGTGGTGTGTGGGAGGGCAAGTGGTGTGGAGGGTCAGAGGAGGGGCAGGTGGGTGTGGGGGCAGGTGGTGGAGGGCAGGTGGTGTGGAGGGGGCAGCGGGTGTGGTGTGGAGGCGGCAGTGTGGTGTGGATGGGGGCATGTGGTGGGATGGGGTGCAGGTGGTGTGGAGGGCGGCAGTGTGGTGTGGAGGGCGGCAGTGTGGTGTGGAGGGCAGCAGTGTGGTGTGGAGGCAGATGGTGTGGAGGGTGGGGGGTGTGGTGTGGGGTGGGTGGTGTGGAGGGGGTGGGTGGAGGGGCGGTGGTGTGAGGCAGGTGGTGTGGAGGGGGCAGGTGGTGTGGAGGGCAGGTGGGTGTGGACAGGGAAGCAAGGGGTGTGGGGTGGGCAGGTGGTGTGGAGGGGGCAGGTGGTGTGGAGGCACGTGGTGTGGGGGTGGGCAGGTGGTGTGGAGGGGAGGCAGGTGGTGTGGAGGGCAGGTGGTGTGGAGGGGCAGGTGGTGTGGAGGGGGTGTGGAGGGAAGCGGTGGTGTGGAGGGGAGGTGGTGTGGGGCAGGAGGGAGGGGCAGGTGGTGTGGAGGGGGCCTTGGTGGTGTGGAGGGGGGCGGGTGGTGTGGAGGGTGGTATGGAGGGGAAGCAGGTGGTGTGGAGGGCAGGTGGTGTGGAGGGGCAGTGTGTGGGAGTGTGGACAGGGGCAGGTGGTGTGGAGGGGGGCAGGTGGTGTGGAGGGGGCAGGTGGTGTGGAGGAAGCAGGTGGTGTGGGGAGGCAGGTGCAGGTGGTGTGGAGGGCAGGCAGTGTTGTGTGGGAGGTGGTGTGGAGGGGGTGGTGTGGAGCAGGTGGTGTGCAGGTGGTGTGGAGGGCGGCAGTGGTGTGTGGAGGGTGTGGAGGGCAGCAGATGGCCACGGTTCGAGGCTTAAGAATTACTCGGGGAAAAGGTGAGATATTTTTTTTTTTTTTACTTTGATGTTGAATTATTGCTAAAAGCCTTGGTCTGAGTACTCCTTGTGTCTTCAATTTTGCCAAC